CTCTCTCTCTCTCTCTCTCTCCCTCCTCTCTCTCCCTCCTCTCTCTCTCCCTCTCACTCCTCCTCACATCCCCTATCTTCTCTCGGATCTCTACGCTCCCGCTACCACCATATAGATGCGCGTCTAGCCTTCCATTGAACAGTGACCCTCCCAATCAAGTTGCTTTGTCTTTTGAACTCGGATTCGCCATACCTAGGCTTTCCCAGTCCAGCCTCAGCCCCGCGGTCCTTTAAGTACAGCCCTTGCCAGTACTAAGTACCCCCACATCCTTCATCCAGAACGTGGACGTAAACTCTGATCTCCTCGGTGGCGCATTTACTCTATTGCTCTTTTTGAAATATCAATATCAATATCCATCAATCTCTTGCTCTTCCTCCCAACGTACGTACGCCTCGTTGGTTCAAAACACATCGACCATCTAAAGCACGCAATTTGCACACCAATCGAGGGGAACTACTGCCCTCCACATCCCATTCGGGTGAACCTTTTCTTTTTAGGATCTTCCCTGCACAGGGTTTTCCAGTAGCCACGCGCGGGTAGGCCTCCAGATCTCCCACGCCCACGGCAGTGGCTCCGTGGATTGGAGTATATGAGCCTCGTGCTCTCCCGCTGACCACAAGACCCAGTTCTATCCAGCATTGTGCAGCTCTCCCTGTCTGTACTACTTCCTTGACCCTGACAGTCTTCTATCATCTATCTGGACTAGCCTCTGTGGTTGCTGTCCAGCTGCTATCACCCGCATATCACATTGCTCTTTAACCCAACACAACCTCAAACACTCCTTCAGGATTCCCATCTGCCAGATGGCCGCCAGCAAGATTGGCCGCGGCCTGGCCAAGGCCCTGGGTATCAAGTTAGAATATCGAGACGAGTTGCAGTTGAACGAAGAGATTCGACGTGGAGAATCTGTCTTCTCCTCTCAAACCGCCGACACGTATGTTGAAGAGGAACCAAGGAGTGCCGAATGGATCGCTGATGTCCTCCCAAATGGACATGACCTGGTTACATATACCCGTTCGTTGTTTCCCTTTACGCACTGGATAGGACGATACAACTTGCAATGGCTTGCTGGTGATCTCGTGGCTGGTGAGAAGCTCCAGTATACCCCCCCATCCTCACTATAAGCTAAGACTCGTGTCTAGGTATTACAATTGGAGCAGTTGTCGTTCCCCAGGGTATGGCATATGCTGGTTTGGCTGATCTGCCAGCACAATACGGCCTTTACACCTCCTTCATGGGTGTGCTTATCTATTGGTTCTTTGCTACCTCCAAGGACATCACTATTGGTGTATGTTTACCCCTTCAATTCAGAGTGTTTAGCTAACTTTCCGAAGCCTGTCGCTGTCATGTCAACGCTTGTAGGTAATATCGTCACCAAGGCCAAAAAATCCCACCCGGACATCGAGGGACATGTCATTGCTTCATGCTTGGCTGTTATTTCGGGTGCTATTATTGTAACAATTGGCCTGCTTCGCTTGGGCCGGATAGTTGATCTAATTCCCCTCGTCTCGATCTCTGCCTTCATGACGGGATCTGCACTCAATATCGCAACAGGCCAGCTTCCAGGGTTGATGGGCATCACTGGTTTCAGCAGCCGCGACGCTTCCTACAAAGTTCTGATCCACACGTTGCAGGGCCTTCCCCGCACTACACTGGACGCGGCAATGGGTCTTACGGCTCTGGCAATGCTATACCTGATCAGATCCGCCTGCAAATTTGCTGCCAAGAGATATCCCAAGCATCAAAAGGCCATCTTTTTTATCTCAACCCTCCGCACCGCCTTTGTCATTTTGCTCTATACGATGATAAGCTGGCTCGCGAATCGGCATCATCGTAAGCACCATCTCTTCAAGATCTTGGGGACAGTGCCACGTGGTAAACATTCCCTTCTTCGCATATATTGAAAGCAATTATTGATTTTGTCGCAGGATTCAAAGCCGCTGCCGTTCCTACGGTCAATAAATCGATTATTAAGATATTTGCGAGCGACTTGCCTTCAACAGTCATTGTGCTTTTGATTGAGCACATTGCCATTTCCAAGTCTTTTGGACGGGTTAACAACTACATCATTAACCCGTCCCAGGAAATGGTGGCAATTGGCGTCACCAATCTTCTTGGTCCCTTCCTGGGAGCGTACCCTGCCACTGGATCCTTTTCTCGAACAGCTATCAAATCCAAAGCCGGAGTACGAACTCCATTTGCAGGTGTTATTACTGCCGTGATCGTTCTTTTGGCTATCTATGCCCTCCCTGCCGTGTTTTATTACATCCCCAATGCTTCACTGGCTGCTGTTATTATTCACGCTGTCGGTGATTTGATTACACCGCCAAATACCGTGTACCAGTTCTGGCGAGTTTCTCCTCTAGAGGTTCCAATCTTTTTCGCAGGCGTCTTGGTCACGATATTTTCATCCATTGAGAACGGAATCTACACAACTATATCTGCCTCCTTTGCGATATTGCTTGTCCGTATTCTCTGGGCCAAAGGTCGCTTCCTTGGCAAGGTCAAAGTTCATTCGGTGGTCGGCGACAAGATTATTGGAGATGTCTCGAAGCCCTTACTCCCTGGAGACAATAACTCCTTTGCCAAGTCTGGGGGATCCCATGATGACACCTCAACTCGCAACATCTTCCTTCCAATCGACCATGGTGATGGATCTAATCCTGATATCGAGGTTCAAACACCATACCCAGGTGTCTTCATTTACCGTTTCAACGAAGGTTTCAACTACCCCAATGCAAACCAATACCTCGATCAACTAACAAATCACATTTTTGCAACAACCCGCCGCACAAACCTCGATCATTACCCTCGCCCTGGCGATCGACCATGGAATGATCCCGGACCACGCCGTGGCAAAACCGCAGTCGATCTCACCAACAGGCCAGCACTCAAAGCCATCATATTAGACTTCAGCGCAGTCAACAACGTCGATATAACTTCTGTGCAACAACTCATTGATGTTCGCAACCAACTTGATCGCTACACTTCCCCATCAGTCGTGGATTGGCATTTTACGTCCCTCAACAACCGCTGGACAAAGCGCGCTCTCGTCAGCGCTGGCTTTGGATATCCTACTGTTTTCCCCGGCGATACAGCTATATCTCGTTGGAAGCCCATCTTCAGCGTGGCTGATATTGGAGGATCGGACTCCGCAGCAAACGCAGCAGAAGCCAGCTTGAGCGAGAAGGAGCTCAAGGAGCAGCGTATTCGCGAGCTGCAGCGCCCGAAGCACCCCGATGACATCGCCCGGGATGGCCCTCGAGCCGATTCTAGCAGTGGGAGGTCGAGCGGTGATTTGAAGGAGGCGGCAGTGAGGGGAGACCATTACGGAAGAGCAGCGGTCGTACATGGACTCAACAGACCACTGTTCCATATCGATCTCACCAGTGCGCTGCAAAGTGCTATTGCAAACGTCAAGGCCAGGGATGAATTTGAAGGCAGAGGTGGAGAGGGTATTGGCGAGGTGCCGTAATTGGAAGTCGTGCTTCTTATTTGTATACGCTGTGTTTTGTTGCTGAGAACCTATGATACCTCTTTCGTTTCTTGGGCTTAAAAGGGTTTTCAAAGAGGGAACTCGATTTTGAGTAATACATAATTCTTCTTTTGTTCACGTTTAAAAACTGCCAAACGATTATAAGTGTGATACGACATGATTTATTTTTGACGTTCTGACACTATATAATGGATTGCCTGACAATTAGATGACGGCCCGCATCCCACCAACTCCGCGCTTGCAAACCCCAGATGTAATTTAGCAGCCTTCTATGTGCATTTGATGTCGAATCTACCAGCCATTCATAATTCGTGGCCTAGAAGCAGTTGCAATCCTCCCCCACAACGCATCCTGTGGCATAACCCCCCTCTAGTACCTCCGCTTCCAACCTCAGCTTGCCGCGTTCGTTATAAATGCATCGGCAGGTAATTTGTCCTAGAAAGAGTCAGTCTTCATCGAATGGTGTAGGTATACTCTACACACCTTATTGGCAGTGAACGCCATGAAAGCCTTCTCAAGGTCCCATCCAGTTTCCGTCAGGCACAATGCTGAATATTGTGGCGTCATTCCCGTTCTCTCAACCAATTGCATAGCCATGGCCTCTTGTTTTTGTTGCTCGGTAGTGATTATTGTTGTATTGGCTTGAGGGTTCAGTGGGGGTTTTGGCAACGCCAGTGGGCCCCATGCACGAAGTGTCAGCATATCACTTACGACCCGAATTGGCTGTGCCCCCGAAGCTCCTGGGCCTAAGACGAAGGTTCGCGAGAAGCTTCGCAAAGATATTCCAGGCGATTCGTTCTGTTCTTCAAATTCTCCGTGCATTGTGATGATGAGTCCGTCCACTCCGCGGACACTTTGGCCGGTGGGGTCTGCTAGGCCTGGAAGAGCATGACATTCAATCAGATATTTGTCGCCTGCGGTCTGTATATCGGGGTGGCGAGTTGCGGGTAAAGCGGACCACAATTTTTGAATGGCTTGACTTCCTCTGTGGAGTCGTGTCATCTGTGTTGGTAGATTGTTGATTTTAACTAGGTTTCGAGACTGCTTGATATATGGTGCCCAAGGGGCGATTGGTGCCGAGTTCTTGTGGCCTCGAGGAGCGTTCTGGTTGACAGATAGCGAATGAACAGATTGGGCATCGTAGAAGTTTGCCAATAATGCTGAGCGGTCGGTGTCGTACAGAACAACGAACTGTCGGATGAAGTTCTCGCCAACCTGGCCAACATCTCGGAAGTCTGGTCCTGCAATCGGAATGGGCGACTTTGCAGTTTCCAAAGCGGCTGCAACCTCTTCAGGTGTTCTGATTTGGATCCCGTTCAAAATTTCGAGGTAAGGGTATTTTTTCATGATATCGGGTTTGAGCGTGGCCAGTTGCGTCTCAATTGGGTTGCCGGTGAGGATGAGAGTGGAAAGATGCCTGAATTTAGCGCCCCAGGCATCAAAATTACTCATTTGTGTGAGTCTGTTTCGAGATAGGTCGAGATGCTGGAGATCTGGGAAAGTTTGGGCAAGGGCAGTGACATCTGACACATCGGCGAGATCATTGTCCGCAAGAGTGACGCTTACAATGGCATCTTGCTTTTCTTGTCTGGTTTTGAAAAGGCCCCCACAGACGACCATCAAGGCAGGGAAGATTTTCGAAGTGGTTGTATTTCCGTCGAAAACGCCCATCTCCTTCAGTCCAGGGTCCTGTGCCAGTGCTGACAGGTTGAGTAACTTGAGGTCGCCATTGTACCTCGCCGCAAGAACGCCCTTTAGGCGTTCCTTGATTTCCATTGCATTCGAAGATACCTCATCCTTCCTTTTATCTCCGAATTTGTCAGGTCTTGACGCGGATGACGGGGAGTCACGGGCCTGGATCCCCAGAGTGGCTCCAGCAAAGGTGAAACCATCGAGCTTCTGTATTTCGGCGATGTCCTCTGAGCTGGCCGTGACAAATACAGAGTCACCTTTTTTGTGTGACTAGTTCGACGTTAGCAAGGTATAAAAAACCTTGAAAATCGATCGCGGATCACGGTGCGGTATAAAGCAAGATGATCGTTCCTCGACTCGATGTTGGTGAATGGCATGAACACGAGTCTAATGAGATGGCGACGCTGCAAGAACCTCGTGATCCCGCGACCAAAGCAAGCAGTTCCTAACATACCTTCTTGATCTTCACATTCCTATTCGGTCCGCTGGCCTTTCGTTCCAGAAATGCGAGTAAGCTTTCCACGCCTCCGTCCGGGTTCGAAGCGGCCTTACTAGAACTTAGTCCGTCGATTTGAAGTGTGGTACCTCCAGTTGTGATGCGCGACTCTAGGACATTTGCCTGCCTGGTTTCCAAGCCTCGAATGATGGCCTGCTGAGTCTTTACGGCTCCGAAATTCGCGCCCCGCGATGGTCCTCCGCGTCCTCGCCCTGCTCCTCTGGAAGATGCAGGGCCTTCCAGGCGGCCTTTGCCTGATCTGCGCTTGTCACCAGCTGCAGTGGCATCCATAACCAGGTCCCCATCTCTGTCGACTCTGCCTGGACCGCCTGCCTTGCTGCGTTTCTGTATTCCACCTCGGCCACGTACGCTGGGAGAGGCATTTCTAGGGCCCCGTGGGGCTACCGGAGCGCGCTGGAGCATTTTATCGCCGGTAGAAGAGGGTAGAGTTGGGGTATTCGTAGATTCTTTGTGTGTGGGCGATATCGCGAAAGATGGCGTTCAGATCATGCCATGCGGGGATGTGGCTGCGGGTAGCTGGACGTGATTATTGTATGTTGCAAAGAGGGCGATATGGTGGGATGGAAATGAGTGAGTTGTTGTATTGCAATTAGATGCGAGGTGAAAAAGAAAGAGGTGGAGCTGGAAGTCAAGGTGGAGATGGCGATGGAGATGGAAGAAAACAGAGCAAGAACAAGAGGTTCAAAGTTCAAAGAAGAATAAGAATAGGAATAAGAAGCTAAGGATTGAGCGAGGCTGAATGACAATGGGGGTTTTCCGAAACGGAGCTAGAAAGGTGGGTCCCGTCAAAAGTGAATCATCTGTGATTAGTCACTTTCATGTGGCAGCGCAACCTGCCTTGAGTCTGGGAAAGGCAATAATACATTATTTGTACCTAGGTAGGTGGTCATTTGTTTGGATTATGATGTGAATATTTCAATACTTATAGCCGAATTGTTACGTATATATCTAATCTTTTATAGCATTTTAAAATATCTGCAAGGTACCTTAAAGTCACGATACGCGCATCGGATACGGCTAACCCACCCCACATATAGCCGCGCGAGGACTGAAAAGGTGTCCTTTGCCTTTGTAAAGGCTCGAATCACCCATTAAGCAGGTGTAACAAGACATCTCCTCCTTCGCATCGTCGTCGTCGTTCATTCAATCATCCATCCATCTGTTCACTTATTTTCCGGCATTGCTAATTATCATTGCATTGTCAATGCCAATGCTAATTCCACGCGACCCTTGACTTGACCTCTAATCTATGTATCTTTGACACTTTCATAGCTATCATCTGCCGTGAGGCTCACCACATTAAAAACCCCCACGACCTGCTCAACTTCATCCTCGATTTACATACCCAGTCATGCCTCCCAAATCTAGATTTACAAGGCTCGATGCCTTTACCAAAACCGTTGACGAGGCGAGAGTCCGCACAACATCCGGAGGAATTGTCACGATAGCTTCACTGCTCATTGTCTTGTACCTTGCTCTGGGCGAGTGGAATGAGTATAGGAAAGTCGTTGTCCATCCCGAATTGATTGTCGACAAAGGTCGAGGTACGTTGTCTGCGATTGCCCTATTTCTGTGGAGGGCTGGCTGATAGGAGACAATAGGTGAAAAGATGGAAATACATCTAAACATTACTTTCCCAAAGATCCCCTGCGAGCTTCTAACACTGGATGTGATGGATGTGTCTGGAGAACAGCAGGTTGGAGTCATGCACGGCGTGAGCAAGGTCAGGCTGTTACCTGTCGAGGAGGGAGGGCATGTTATTGATATCAAAGCTCTCGACTTGTACGTTTCTTCCACAAGCATAACCTCACGACCATGCACTTAACTCTCATAGGCATTCCGATGACGACAAAGCGCAACATTTGGACCCCGAATACTGTGGTGAATGTTATGGCGCGACTCCTCCACCAAACGCGCAGAAAGCAGGCTGCTGTAATACTTGTGAAGAAGTGCGGGAAGCATATGCGAGTTCGTCCTGGGCCTTTGGGCGAGGGGAAAACGTAGCACAATGCGAGCGTGAACATTACGCCGAACGACTGGACTCTCAGAGAAAGGAAGGATGCCGCATAGAGGGAGGTCTGCGAGTCAATAAGGTCGTGGGGAACTTCCATATCGCACCCGGAAGGAGTTTCAGCAATGGCAATATGCACGTACACGATCTCAATAACTATTTTGATACCCCGGTCCAAGGAGGCCATGTATTTTCGCACACTATCCACCATCTTCGCTTTGGCCCACAGCTTCCCGAGGAGATCACCAAGAAAATGAGCTCCAAGTCACTACCATGGACCAATCATCACGTAAACCCACTAGACGATACCGAGCAAATTACGCATGACCCGGCTTATAACTTCATGTATTTCGTCAAGGTCGTCTCAACTTCTTACCTTCCCTTGGGGTGGGAGAAAGAGATTTATGGTCTCAACGCTGGTCAGGACAACGTGGGAATTGGTTCCTATGGACACCTGAATGATGGCAGCGTTGAGACACATCAATATTCGGTCACTAGCCACCGCAGAAGCTTGAATGGCGGTGATGACGCTGCTGAGGGTCACAAGGAGAAAATCCATGCACGAGGCGGTATCCCCGGCGTCTTCTTCTCATACGTAAGTTCTTCTCCATCCTCAATACCAAACCACTCTAACATAAACATAGGATATCTCGCCAATGAAAGTCATCAATCGTGAAGAACGATCCAAGACTCTAACTGGCTTCCTGACAGGACTCTGCGCAATTGTGGGAGGGACCTTGACCGTTGCAGCGGCCGTTGACCGCGGTTTGTATGAAGGCACGACACGCTTAAAGAAGCTACAGTCTAAAACTATGTAAAATTGATGTTTTATTGGCATGGGATGGAGTTCAGAGGATTTGAATATAGCCAATTTCAGCCATTTCTACAAGTCTTCAATGCGATCAATGCTTGCTCGGGTGTGATATGCATGGCAGCCAGTCGACGAAACAGACATTCTTCCGTGTTTGGAAGTCGGGGCTTGCATGATTTTCAACAAGATTTTATTAGTTCGTACAGTTATCATCGCTGCACGATAATTGTAGCAAGCCAAGAAAACTTGAATCTATGATAGGTATTTATGCTTTCTACTATAAGCCATCCACTATACAATAATCCTCCAAATCAAAGCAAAGAAATCCTAGTAGGCCTTAACAATACAAAAGGCAGTAGAGTCAAAATCACCACCCGTAGAAATCACAATAGCAAACATACCCCCAAGTCCATTCATTCATTACGCCAGGATATATAAAGCTCCGATTCGAGAAAAACGCCCAGCATACATTTCATCATCAAACATTACTACTATACAGGCTAAGATGCTGACTTCATGCGGCCGAACATGTTTCTCGACCGTGACTTGTTGCGAGGTTTTTTGTCCTTGTCTTTTTCAAGTGATGGGCGGCTGTGTGATTCCGAAGAAATTTTGGGGTCGTCGCCATCGTTGTATTTTGCTTTGTATATCCTTCCGCGCATGTTAGAGAGAACGGAGAGGAGTGGAACGCCGAGACTTACCAACTATTGCCAACCATGCTGATGCCTTTGCTTTCTGCCTGGCGATAGAACCGAGCGCTTTTCTTGAGGTCCTTCTTGCAGCCTATGGCCTGCGCATAGCAGAATCCTGCTTCAGCTAGAGCATCGGCATCTCCCCAAGCTGTGTGTTTGTCAGTAAGAGCTTGCCTCAGAACTTGATATAGGTGGACGTACAACCAGCAATCTCAAAGCATCGCAAAGCAAGCGCCTTGTCCTGTTCTATGCCCCACCCGTTCATGTGACTGACGCCCAATTCGTAAATACTCAATGCAAATTGAGCCTTCCGAGTCTTGATCTCCAAGATATCAACGGTTTTTCCACCCTTAAGCAAATCTTCATCATCAGCTATTTCCAAGCTTGCGGAATCAGCTGCTTTGCGCAGCCAAATAACCCCTTCACGCTGATTCGGCCGCATGCCCCATCCATGTCTGCAAGCCAAAGCGTAGAGAAGCATTCCCGTAGGATGGTTCTGTCGGGCAGCTAGGCGGAGGTGATAGGTTGATTTGGTCAGAGCACCAGCCTCGTGATACTCTATTGCTTTGGCAACGTTTTCCTCACCAGAAGCTTCTGCAGATGGCGCGAGAGAATGCTGTGATTTTGCCTTGATTGTTCCTGATGAAGATATAGATGGAGAATGAGCACGATTATTAGAAGCAAAGGATCTTTCTGCGGCTCTCCCTCTTTCAGTAGATGACCTTACTGCATCAAGAGATGGTCTGGCTGGATCTATTGAGGGTCTACCGGGATCTAGGGACGGTCGCATAGGGTCGGGCCTCAAAGAGGAAGTTGAAGGTCTCGAAGGAGGTGAAGGCGGAGCACCGCCATGAAAAGCTTGGACATTGCTGAAAGGGACAGGCTGCTCCCACGAAAATTGTGCCTGTGGTAAACTCTCCTGGAAGATCAACGAGTTTCTTTGGAGCATTTTTCCCCTGGGCAACGAGAATCTTGAATATACATAAGAAGGGGCCGCTCCACTTTCGCTGTTGTTCTCCGGGAATCCTTCACTATACATGCTGACTGGCGTATGCGCAGTGTCGTCGGCGAGAACAAAAGAAGGTTGGCTATCAGATGATGCTTGTCGTGATGGCACCTCGGCCGGTATTCCATTCACACTTGCCCTGCTTAAAGGCCGAGAAAAATTGAACGCTGGCCGTGGTAAACGTGTCCCACCAACAGATATTTCAGAAGAGATTGATGGAGATCTGTGGATTGGTTGTATCGTAGGTGATATAGGAGAGGTTGATAGTCCACTACTGGACGATAGCTTCCGGTGGGGGGATAGGGTATAAGGCGGGTTGGAGGTATTGCAATCCTCATCGGAACTGTCCATAGACATTGACCTAGGACTTGGAGCTCTCTGTGCAAAAGGGGAACGTGGTGGAGCCAAAGCTCTGGAATCATAACTCCCCATTCCCAAAGATACATCGTTAAGCCTCCGGGGTTGCTGCAGGCGCTGGCGCATCGATTCAGCGCTTGGTCTAGGTTGTATCTTGGCAGACGGAGAATATTCTGTCCTGATAGGTTTTTGTTCTCGCTCCAGAGTTGATGGTGACTGTTCTCTTCGCACCCCAAAATACCCCGGACCTCCGGGCTGACTGGCTGGACTTCTTCCTCGGAACTGCTCTTCATCGTGTAGATTAAACCGGGGCGACGGTTCTTGAGGTAGAGATGGTTGCGCTTCACTGACGACGGGGTATACGGATACGGGGCGATTTGCTGAAGCCTCGACTTCGGTCTTCACCCCTATTCCAGGGCTGTTCGTTGGCGAGGTAGGAGTCCCAGACGCTGCTTCTGCCGATGCGGAACGAAAATACGTGGGTCTGCTTTGGCCCAGGGAGCTTGCGATAGTAAGAGGGGGCAATCTGCTCATACGCTTTTCCCCATTCATGCCTCTCTCCAGCTCCTTCGCCAGGCGCCTGCTTTGGGCAGCAAAGGCATCGAGGGGTGATAATTCAGGAGGTACATCCCCCGCAATATGCAAACGAGGCGATGGGAGGCTTCTTGGGGATGGGAGACCGGTACCGATTGGCCCATGAGATTGCGATCGAAGGTCGAGGTAATTCGGTCGATTGGCCATGGTATTGGGCCGGCGACAGGCGTGGAAATTTACCTCCTTGTCTGCGCTCAGGTTTGCTCCCTCTATCGACGATTTTGTAAACTCGTGGTTCTCGCGGGGCTATCGATCGTACTGTGTGTTGGAGAAGCAAGTGTCAACGTTGTTTGCGGTTCAGGTTGCTCGGACGTTGTGGCTGCAGACTAACGTGCGTGTTTCGGCTTGGATACTTGTATGGGGTAGTGGTAGTGGGTGCGCAAGGAATTCGACTGAGGAGATAGGATGCTCGATGCAGTGACTGGCGGGAACAGTTGACAGAGCTGCTGTGTGAGGTAAGGTGAGATGAGGTGACTGAACGCCGATTGTAGGAGCTTGTGGCGGTATTATAGATATTTGATATCGTGATTAATTAATTAATTAATGCGCCGGTAAAGAATGTCAAAGCAGAAATGGCGTCGGCCTGTGAATGCGAGTTGTACTGGACCGGGTGTATGTGTACGTTGCGTAAAGATACTTGTTGGATGTTGAAAGAAAGTATGCGACAAAAGGAGGGTGGAAGGTACTGTCTGTTTCAGAATGCTTCCTTTGGATCGTCTTGCACGGGCGAGTGGGGATGTTTATTTTGGTTGCACTCGTGTAGGTAAACTACTCCGTAAGTGCATATGGGGCGAAAGAATGTCTGAACGATGGGGAGAGCGAGAGCAAGAACAGGAAAGAGGAGGGAGAAGGAGAAGGAGGGAGTATAGAAAGAGGAATCATAAAACTAATGCGTAGGATTGATAAATGAATCAATGATCTTAAATTTAATTCATTACTTGAGTAGGACCTGACCTGTAACGGAAGCCAAGAATAGAGCCAACAGTATTATTCGCTGGCTCTCGAAATATATCCCCGCCTAGCCCTTTAGTCAGGGGACGAGCAGTCTACTTTGGGCATCTCCGATTCCAGGGGAAAGCAAGATCGTCACTAATGTACGGAAAAGATTGCTAAATAGTGTGGGGCGTATCCGTAAAGCCTTGTAAAAGTAAAATTTCCTTCTCGCGCTTTTTGTTTATTCTTCGTAAGTACAAGTAACATCCTCATCCATACCTTGGCTTAATGTTCTAGCACTTTTTGCATCTGCTTTTCTTCTCCTCTTCTTTTCCCCTTCTTCTCCTCCTCCTCCTCCTCTTCTCCCCCTCTTCTCCTTATTTCTCTTCTCTCCCGCATGCTCACATTTTCACCATCACCTAATCACTTACGGTCGAATACCCATTTCCCCAATGCCCTCCTGACTCCCCTTGTATTACTATTGGCTACCCTGTTGACAAGCCTGCAATGCAATACCGTTATACGGAGATCCGATTCAACGCAGGGTCTTTATGTGGACCTCCCGCGACCTGCCCTGCATGCTCGCCTTTTTGGTGGCTGTTGAATTGTGCCTGGAAAGGAGTTGCCCAATCGGAGTTGATACGCCCTCTGTGGGGCGACTGCCTCTTTCTCACTGCCTTTACCTTATGCCTTTTGATTTGCTCCTTCAAGTTATCACCATGGCAAGCAAAGTTATGGTATAGTGGAGTAGCCCTCTTAATGCCTCTTCCCTTGCGATTAGTGCATTGTGTTTTTAGATAGCTTTGCATTTATTGGTAGCGGGATCTTTATGCGATAGATGGTAGGAGCTGTAAAGAGTCGTCTTTTTGTCTTATGGATATATAAATCAAATATCCACTTGAACATTTTAAAAGGCCCAACCAAGAAAGTAATAACAGTGATATCTAATTGTTTGCGATGCGTTAGTATGAACAGGTAATAACCGCGTCTTTTCCAAATGCCAACCTTCTCCCATCTACCTTGATATATTCTCCTGGCTCTTAGGAACATTCTGTCTCTTTCTTAAGTAATCTTGTCGCATCAGATTAGTCAAGTCCATACTATACCTTCAATTCCGCATTGTATGCTTATGGTTACAATTGCTCAATGCTCTTCGCATTGCTTGGTATCTATCTTCATCTGAAGATACGGAGATTACCTAGTTACACCCTTAGTTTTAAGCGCTTAATCAAGGTCATGTGAAAACAACTCTGTACCAGTAAAATATCACACCACATAGGTACCTAGGCTAGGTATCTATATAGCAACATAGCTCCAGGAGGAGGGGCATGGGCATACCTATCTAAGCCTAGCTTGGCCTGCTCCCCGGATTTTAACCATTGCCAAGGTTTATCACGTCGCGTCACGTCGCGTCTCTTATTTTCTTAACTGCACCTCCCTTTTGCTGAGCGACCCCTCTGCCCCTCTACTCGAGGAGTGTGGCATTCGCTAATTACTCTACCACACTCATTCCGAGCCACTACTCATTCAGGTCTTCTGCATCTCTAGAGTCGCTGCTCAAAGCAGTCCTTCCAGGATGGAGCCTGTTGTGCTTGCTCCCTCCCCCTCCGTGGCCTCCGCGGACTACAGAAATCTCTATGAGTTTGCAGTTCAAAATTTCCCTTCCGAGTCCTTCTCTATCTCTGAAGGGGTATACGCTGTTGCTATCATCTCCCACGAGAAACGCATCATCGATGTCTCACCAGTCGATTTGCATTGGTTCAAAGTAAAGCAGGTGAATGCAAGTCAACCTCTGAACTTTACTATTGCTAATAAGGGCTAGAAAAATTCGGTCTTGCGATTAAAGTCGGCATATCAGAAGATGACGGGCGCAAGCGTACATTTCAAATTGGAAGGGGTACCGATCGAGGATGCGACTTTGATGCGTGACCTCGGCGTTGAGAAACAGCAAAGCATCATCGTCCTGACTTTGCATAAAGACTCCAGCGTATCGGCTGCATCTAGTCAGGATAAAAAAGCACTTCAACCCATTAATAACATTCAGCTTCCCGCACGCTCGAATCTATACGCCAGCCGCGATAAGCCGATCATCAAAGACAAGCAACTACAGGACGGTGGTTTGTCTCAAAATGAGTCGAACGTTCTTTTCCCACATTCTAGAGAATGTGTTAAGTCGGAGATCGAAGCGGATACTACAATGTCTGAATCGGAAGTCCAGGATGCAGCCCCCAATCTAGGCCTTCAAAACACTCGGCTCCGGAAGCTCATTGAAGAGGCGCATCCAGACGAACTCGAGAAAGTAGTCAAAAAGTTCACAGGCCTTCGTAGAGGCTCTGAAGAAGCCACTGGAAGCACATCTTGGTCAACTTGAAGATGTCAAACATTGGGTTGCACAGATTTCCAACTTGCAAGAGCACAAAGTCGATACACCCACGATCATTGGAGTTGTCGGCAACACTGGTGCAGGTAAAATTAGCGTCATCAATGCTATGCTTGATGAAGAGAGGCTTGTTCCTACGAACTGCAGTAAGTATGCTTTCGTTTACATAGAAGGTGCTCTGTTTTTGGTACCACCAACGCACCCCAGTTTCTACCTTAACCCATTGCTTGCACTTCTTGCAAGTCACGATCTCTACAGCTCGCGGTCTACATAATCGTCTAGCCAATGTCTCAGGATAAAGCCTACTCTAGGCATTATTCTGTTATCCTTGCAAGCATGTTCATTCGACGCTCGTCGAGGCGGTTTCTTATGCCTTTTGATGCTTTGCCAGATGTCTCCTTGGCTGATTTAGCACAAAGCTCCACTATTTATGAGCAATACTAACATTTGTTAGTGAGAGCGTGCACTGCAGTGGTTACCGAGATTAGTTACAATTCTAGTGAAGATCCAAGTGCGATATATCGTGGCGAAATCGAATTTATTCAACCGGCAGACTGGGAGAATGACCTTAAGCTGTCTCTGGCAGAGTTGAAGAATGACAATGGTGGCGTACGTAAACCCCTCACATTAGTGTGCCAACCCACTAAGTCTTTCAGATCTCCAGGGAAGTTTACAATGCCGATTCGGAGGCTGGAATCGCTTACGCGAAAGTCAGAGCCGGTATGTCGTCCCAGTTTGTCTTGAGTTGGGGTTTCTCTTGCTCACACTCTCCCTAGTTTATCCGCAGAAAACAAAAGAAGAACTGGCCTCCAGTAGCGTTGAGGATCTCATGAGTGATCCCGCCGTGAAGAACGTGCTTGGAACCACGAAAAGGGTCGAGAGACCAGAAGCATTCTCTTTCTATAGAGCCCTTCAGCATTATGTAGACAGCAAAGAGAAGTCCACAGAAACAAAAAAGAAGGAGCAGGGAGAGAGGAAGAAGCAGGAAGTATGGCCTCTAATCAAGGTAGTCCGAAGTTTCACCAAGGCCAGCGCTCTTTCCACCGGTGCAATTGTAGTCGATCTGCCAGGTGTTCACGACTCAAACGCGGCGAGGGCTGCGGTGGCTGCCGGATACGTAAGTCCCTCTCTTAAATCACCTCGCAGTTCATAACAGTCTAAAGAAGCCCTCAGAGAGGCGCTCTATTTGGGTTTGATTGAACTTTCTAGGAGATTGCTTCTTCTACTGTCCGCTAAAAGAGAGATCCTAATTAAACAGATTCAGAATATCTGCTAACATAAACCCCTAAAGTTGAAGCAATGTACAGGATTATGGATTGTTGCACCAAGCAAGATACACAGGTCTCATTTGTTTCTCTTCGATGTTTCATCAACCCTCTGAAATCTGGCCTCTGAATTATTGCTATTCCTATAAATCTTCTTTCGAAAAGGAAAGCTGACTGGCCCTTTACAGTTGGACGAGCAGTCGATGATAAGAGTGCAAAGTCACTGCTCGGAGAGTCATTCCGAAGGCAGCTCAAGTACGACGGCATTTATTCTCGAGTCACGTTTATATGCTCCAAGACAGACGATATATCTATCACAGAGGCAGCCGACAGTCTGGGCCTTGAGGACGAAATGGCAGCGGACTGGGAGAGGATGGATGCAATCGACAAGAGTTTAGCTATGCTGAAGCAGAATATGAAGGAGCTCGGAGAATCGAGAGCTGTATACGGCGCAGTGATAAACGACGCCGATGATGCCCTCGAGGCCTGGGAGGTAGGTAGATTCTTGACATTCCGCCCCTTGATATCAATATACCGCTATTTGAGAGATGCTATGTATCTTGATAAACAACTTCAGGAATCAAAAACTAACTTGTATCCAATTTTAGAAGTTGCAGGAACAAGCTGAGGGTGGTGAGACAGTATGGGCTCCGATCGATGCATCAAAAAAGCGAAAGCGATCAGCGGAGCCAAAAGAGTCCAGGAAAAAGTCCAAGACTAGCAAGGCTTCCGAGTCTGGAGACGATGATGATTTTATTGACGATGACGATGAAAGCCAGGCTGCCGAGGAGAGCTATAGTCCAGAAAACGAGGACACTGACTCCAAGAAAGGTGATCCATTGACTCTGGACGCAATTGAATCGAGAATTGATGAGTTCAAAGAAACAAAGGTACGCATTCTTCGGCTACTCATGCCCTTGGATCTTTTATTCTTGATGAGTAATTCAAGAGGGCGATTGACATGGATCCCGGGGAACGGTGCCTTGCCAATCTCTTCACCAAATGACTATGCTAAATCTCGTGTTTTTGCAGAAAAGGGCGCGCCGGGAGAGGACCGAAATAGATGCAAAGGTCAAAGATCTAAAGAAGCAGCTTGCCGACCTCGACACCACCAGAAGCGAGATCGAGACCGTGATGAGCGCCCTTTGCATCGATGGTCGCAACAAATATTCCAAAGGCGCTATACAGACCGACTTCGCCGCTGGGATCAAAGAACTCGATCAGGAGAACGCCCAGGAAGAAGACGAAGCCAATTTCAACCCTGATGAAGATATTCGCAATTACGAAGAAGGTATGTATTAGGCCGCGAATTATCAACAACTTGACTAACACCTGTTAAGTTGCCAGGAGTCTGAAAGTCTTCTGTGTATCCTCCAGGGCCTATCAGAAGCTAGAGGTATGTACTTTCTAAGAGGAAAGGCTTTCGTCTTCGCCTTTTGCTTTGGATCTTTGAAATGCTGATCGGTAACATAGGGACGACTAACCCGGGACAGGTAAGACTAATCAGGCTCTCTTTTGTTGTCGACTTTCAACATGATTCGGCGGCTGTAGCTATTGGGGCACCTATATGTCTCACGGCTTCTTTGTCATTGCTGCGCTCCTGAGAATTTCCTAAGAAAAATAAAGGCTAATTTCCCATTCTTCGCAGCAATGTCCCCGGGTTCTCATCCAAAGAAGCAACCGAAATCCCAGCACTTCAGGCACACTGTAGAAAGTTGACGGAGGCAAAAAGAGCTTCGAATTGTCGTCGTTTCCTTACGGACCTCAGCCAGCTTCTGAACTCATTAAGTCTTTGGGCGAGTGATAACGGGACTGGTCTTAAACTTTCTAGTGAGAACCTAGCTGCCGAAGCTCAATTTTTGAAGAGCCGCCTTGCCCGATTAGAATCGAGTCTGGAGCTTGGGGTCTCGGAATGTCTACAAGAGATAAAACAGACCCTCGCTGAAAACATATTCGAGAACTTTGATCATGTTGTTCAGTAAGCTGTCGATGAAGCCACGTCAACAGCTACGCGGTGGGGAGATCGCCACATGGGTGGATTCTACTGTAAGTCTCTTCCTGCTCAACTGATGTGATGCTTAGACATCCTCCCATTTTGAGAGGTTTGTCCCATTGCTTATCAAATATTCTATGCCAATATTATAAACTCTTCTACAGATCTAACACTGACTTCTCATTTTAGGGGCGACTTATAAGGCGCTCTGTCGTCGGAATGGAGTGTTCACAAATGGAAAAGGCCCCCATGACCTGAATGCTCAGCTCACAGAGCCCGTGATTCGGGGCCTCGCAAGCAACTGGGAAAAGGCATTCGCTCGAAGACTTCCGAGCGTCCTTCAGAGCTTCTCAAAGAAGAGCAAAAGTCTCCTGCTTGCTTTCCATAAAGATATCGAGGTTCGGTGCATGAAGCAAGGCGTCGGAGTTGCTGGGCTGGCTATGTTAGGTAAGTAAGCGTCTGGGGGAGCTTTTACTTTCCTTGTTTGGACAGAATTGCAAGTTCGAGGGAGCCTTTTTCAATGTCTCATAAACTCTGTGATAATAGTAGTTCCGGTCACTTCTTGATCTCCTAGCTAACTGAGAATTTGCAGGCCAGCAACTTCGTAACTACGAGGGGACATTCGTTAATTTGACCTATGAGATGGTTGAGTTGATCTATTTATTTATTTATTTATTCTATTAACGTTCTGTGTAAGTCTAAGACTATTGTTACAATCACGAATCCTTGAGGGTATAACCTAGTATAAGGTTGAATCAAATATAATTCTAAGCTAAAGAGAAAAGAAAGAAAGTCTAGAATATAGATTTATAGGAGCGAATATATATGCGCTTAGCTAATTAGTAAGTAGCTAAGAAAGGTAGCTAGTAATTAGGTAGCTAACTAAATAAGAGGCTAGGGCTATACTAATATGCTAATATTATATAATATATTATATAACTAGACTATTACAGATGAGTCACGTATATATAGAGGCTTATTTA